AATTAACAGGTGGATGCTGAGCAGAAAGCGCACAAACACAAACTTACATGTTTAAGTTCTTGCATGCGGTCCTTCATGATTCCCCGTTTCGCCGGTAAATTGTTGTTATTCCCTCAGTTCCCGTTGTCTTCTGGGTGTATGTGACGGTGATGGAGCGGCGGGGCGGAGACCGATGGGTAGACGTGAGCTCGACCGAGAGGAAGAGGCGCGTCTGGCGGCAGCAAGGGGCGGTGATTTTCCCCCCTTCGGTTCGGATGCTGGGATGGTGAGACCACTTTACAGAGCTGGGTGACGCGCAATAAAGGTGAGGCGAGGCCTTCCGCCGTTAACCCATTACACACCCACAACTTCCTCAATCCGGACTAATTGACTTTTTTTTTTCTTCTTTATTCTTTTCGGAGCTCTTTTATTATTTTGGCTGAATATTTAGTCCGAGTGCATGAAGGTTAGTTTGACACAAAAACCAAAAGCACTGGGAGCCTGCCTGAGGGGGGAAATTGTGTTGACTCTGGTTAACAATTGAGCAGGTTCAGAGATAACGCCCAGGTACTTTGCATTGTGCCAAAGCGAACAGCGACCCCTGTCGAAACCGACGGATATGGCAACAGTACAAGGAGCTCGAAATGACCCAGAAATATTGCCTTCAATAATATATTTTTGTATTTAAAGCTCCATTTGAGAAAATGAGAAAATTTAGTCAATATTTGTTGTTTCCTGAGCAAATTAAAATAAAGACAAGGTCCAAAGAAGCATTAAAAATAATTCTGTATTAGTAGAAATTTTGACATCATCACAATCTTCCAGCTGTTTTTTCTTAAGCATTTATTCAACTCTTGGGTGGGCTGGAGTCTGTGTCACTGGTCCTTTTCTAGGCACAGAATCCCTGCAGTTACCATACACCACTCAAAATGGTGCCAACATGGTGCAGCAATTTATTGAAATGTGAAATACTGTATATAAAGAAAAACAGAGCTTGTACAATTTTAACAAACTTCAAAGTCAGTAGTTAGTACGACGACGGTTATTCTTCAACACAGCCTGAACTCTCGTAGGCAGCTTTCTTGTTATTTCTTTAAGGAGTGTTCAGGAATAGTTCTCCAAGCTTCTCAAATCACATTCAAAGCTCTTCTTTTGGATGCTGGCTGCCTTTTTGTTTTGTTCTCTGTCAAGTTGTTCCCACACTGCTTCAGTAAAATTGAGGTCTGGGCTCTGGGGAGGCCAATCCATGACCGATAAGTGTTCCATTTGTGCCAAGCAGAGGCTTTCCATATGATATTGCGCGCTGGATCAAAATCTCACAGTACATTTCTGCGTTCATAATTTCATCAATTTTGACAAAATTGCCAACACCACGTTTTCTAGACTGCTGTAGACATTCACTGTTGTGCATCTCTCCTGACCTCCTCCGTACATACTGATGACTGTCCTTGTGTAATTTGGCAAACCACACCCTTTTCTCTCCATTTCCTTACCTAAGAACAACTTCTCAACAGCCACCTTTCCACTGAGCTTCTGATGAAGCTTCAGCAAACAGGAGCTCCTGTGTTAGATCCTAGCCCATATTTCATAAGGACATGACTGTCAGATGGTGCTGCAGATAGTTTTTTTTTTAAGCATAGATCTTTTTACGGGGAATCTACTTGCCTCTCAAACTGTTATCTTTGATGTTCTTCATAGATTCAGCTAAAGAAATGGGAACACATTATAAGTTTGGGGGTTTTTTTGCAATGGGTTGCTATTAACAAATATAAAATTGGTTCTTTGCCAACTTGTCTGTTATGTGCAGACAAAACACTCAGTCATCTCTTGAATTAGATGCCTTCCTATGCTTGAATGATTCATACGTCAGCGTTTAAAAAACAAAAACAAAAAAAACATTCCTCTGAAAGTGGTCAGATAAAAAGGGCTGGACTCAAAAAGCTAAACAAAAGCAAAGAAATGCCAAGTGTCCAAAAAAACCCAAAAGACCATCAGAAAGCCTGGAGAACAGAAGACAGCTTCAAAACCTCAAGAAAGTCTGGCTCCTTGGAAGCAAAATATGCAAAAATGAGGGGTGACTTAAAACTTGTACACAAAAATGTATTTTTTCTTAGCTGCAAGAAACAATAATTTTCCTCCATTACAAACGAGGCTAGTTCAGTTTGTCCCTTGTAAACGCAGCTCCTGAAGTTTCTTTCTTTTTAACCTGATTAACTACCATTTTCTTCATTATTAGGTCATTTTTTATTATCATAGCTCCCTAATAAAGGTAAATTCATTTTGTGGCTCTTTCTTTAATTTCTTTTATGAGCTAAAAATAAATAATTAAACAACCTCAATACATTTCTTGTTTAGTTTTAATTGAGAAACATTGCAGATAATACAATAAACCACAAAGATATGGCCACTTATAAAATTGCTTTGATTTATTTATACTGTTTTGCTTTTTCTTCACTGTGGTTTTTGCCACCAGCTGTGAGTACACACACATTTGTTCATGTACTTCCAGCCAAACTGAACATTGTGAGTGCAATCTCACCGCTTTTAGCGAGGAACACTCGACCAAATATAAAAACGACTGGCTGTAATTGCATTTTGCTCTTGCATCACATCCACTTGAATTAAAGAGCTGAAAAATAAATCAGAGTCCAAACACTCTGCAGTTCCAGAGGTGGTTCTGTGTGTCTGTGTGTTACAGAGGAGGGCTAATGAAGGCGCAGCTGCATGAGTCAGAGCTAGAAATGAGGTCTTCGCTTACGTCCAGTGTATTTAGTGTCGGCTCGAACCTCCCTGCAGGTTAACAAACACACAGCAAAGACAGAGAGAAGCCAGTTAAGGTGCATTTTAAAATACAGGCAATAAAAGGTAAAATCCAGTTAAAGCTAAACTAAGTACATTACGACATTCAGAGCTTTAAGCTCGGTATAATGAATTAAATTTTTCGTCCTCTAAGAGTTGAAAATACACTCATGCACACACCGTCCCTGTCTCCTCCTCCTCTCCTTCTTTTCCAGGATCCAGTCTCGTCCCTTCTTCAGCGATTTTCCCTTCATGTTTCTGAAACGACATCTTCACAGCGACAAATGAATATTAATACTTAGCATTAGATGCAAAACATCTCACATATCCAGTCACTTGAGTCTTACTCTGTAAAAGGGAGGAAAACCTGCCTGACAGGGTTTTAAGTCAAGCAGGACAACGACCCTTTCTGTCATTTCTTTTGGTCTTTTGGCTTCATAAAGGCAGGTAAGACTGAACCTGCACTCATCAAAGCTGAGACCAGTTCACTATCCTAATGCAAAGTAATAAATGGGATGATTTATACGGCTGCGTTATCACAAATCATAAGCAAATCACCAATTATCCTGATGAGAATAAATTACAGCTGAAGCAAACAGTCGCCAACATCATTCATCTTTACTGATCATATTGTTTGCTGCAGAAAAAAAAAA